TTATTTACTATTCATTAATCAATTCCCTAATATTTGACCGATATTCCTACATGTCCACAAATATTGGATTAGTGTCCGACAGAATGAAGTCTTTACTATGCTCCATTGTGGACGTGGACAGCTGGAGACCCAACAAGCATGCAATGATTCCTGTTATCCTCCTTGGAAATGCGCTGCCTGGGGCGGATGCGTCATCGTGTTTTTTCCCTGCGGACAAAAAACAGGCAGGCACCTGGGTGTGCACAAAATTTACGCCGTTCAGATTCAGGTGGATTCGTGTTTACTCACAGACAAGGAAAGTCGAGGCTTCAGATCACAGAAATACAAGTGGTAAATATGAGCTTCCTCCAAAGGGTATTTGGACTCGGGAGGAGCTCAGTAATTTTGGAGTGTCTCAAAGTAGTACTTATACTCCCTCGCGCTGAAAGTAGCCGGGATAAACGGTAGAAAAGGGTATCATTTTCTATCAGCCTGTTAGTTAACAGTTCTACAAGCCATATAAGGTCTAGATCTGTGTTACTGGGTTGGTTGCATGTCCTCAGTGGTATTTGAACCAACTGGTTTAAAATTTTGACATCTTAAAGGCTTCTGCTGTTTCTTTGTGCTTCTGAGTGGTGGAAAAAACAAACCGAGGACGTGTCAGACAGCCTTAATTCTTTACACCGACCTGAAATTATCCTGAACCAAACCGTCAGCCTTAACACGGCTGCTAATAAGAGCTCATCCCCCAGATTTCTTTCACCGGCCTCCTGTGTATGTTTGTCTTCTTTCTCACATGGAGGCACAAACACACCCCTCCTGCTGTGTTTGGACAGTACAGCTCACAATCTCCATCTCCAGCACGTGGCCAAATGGGGCCTGGGCTTTGTGTGTGTGTGTGTGTGTGTGTGTGTGTGTGCGCGCATTTAGGCTGCTTTCTGTATTGGTGTGTGTACGGGCATGTGCCTGGCTGCCCACGTTGACTCTAATGTAGCCTGTCATATATAGGCTAACACTACTCTCTAACCTACCCAGCCAATCAAAGCTTGCAGATGAGAGGAGGAAGCCCAGTGGCCGCAGGCTCTGCATAAGGCTGCAGTGCCTATCGACTGCAACCATGAACCGACTTATTGACTGGCCGTCTGGCTGACTTGCTGACTAGTTGTCTGTGTTGCTGCCTCTTGAGCTGGCTTTGCCTGTTCATCCTTAATCTGTTTGTCTATTTAAAGTCTTAGGTTTATTGTATCAGCAGGAACAGGGAGGGGGAGGCAATAAGTTGGATTTTTTTCTTTTCTTTTTTTTTAAACTGCTGTTAAGCCCCCGTATTTAGTCGCCCGCTGATCCACAGGGGTGTCAGCCTGTCCCAGGCTAGTAACATCAGAGATTGTGCAGGAGAAATGAGTAGTGGATTGCATGTTATTGTCATGAGATGGTGACTGCCATGTTGTCAGCTGAGCGTGATGATGATGATGGAATGCATGAATAGTAACAACTTTTTTTTTTTTTCTTCCTTTTCCCCTTCTCCAAGTATTTCTCACACACCTCGTTCACCACATTACCCTCCTCGCACTGATAGGATTACAGCTTCCTCTGTGCTTTTTAATTAATGGGTTAAATAGACCCCCTACTATGGACCTCGAAAGGGGCTGTGTGTGCATGTGGAGGGGAGAGATGGCAAGGTCATGTGACTTCGTTTAGCACGGTATTAAAAAGAGCCCTGTGTCCTTTTGATTAGCGTGTGTGTGTGTGTGTGTGTGTGTGTGTGTGTGTTTCAGGGTGGAGGCTGTTGAAAAGCCGAATTAACACATCCACACTGCAGCCATTTGAGAGAGAGAGACTTTTCATATAAACCCAAGACTTCTAAATAAATGCATAAATGGGTCTAAATTGATAACTGGAGTCTTTATATTACTGTGTATTAAGCAAGTATGCTTTGTTTTGTTTCTATTAGAGGTATATTTAATGGTGCTCAGTGCAAGGAGAATGTAACGGTGGTAAAACAAGAAAAGGATTTAACCAGTCACCTCTGAATGAATGAATGTTGCTGAAGATAAATACAACCCTTGACATTCAGCGTCTTCTTCTAAACAGGAAAAATAAATCTTGATTATATCTTTGTAATCAAATTATGAGCTGTGCAGATACAGACATTCCTTTGCGATTCTGGGGTGTTTCAGAAGCAGTCATGCACACACATGCATGACGACACATGTGCTGCACACTACATGCATGCATGCATACATTTATAAGCAGTCAGGATCCTTCTCAGGCGCAAGGCAGCCATGTTGACCCTCATAAATAGGTCATGGAGCATACACACTGAGGTTTAAAGTGCATATCACGATAATCAGAGCTGCTCTCTGGCATTGTTGGTGTAAGGCATGATGGTAAGGAAAATACCACGACTTAATTACTTGGATATGTTTCCCTTATGGAGGATAGGAGGTATTTTACTTTATATAGCTATAACACATGGAAGCTAAAGGGTGAAATGGTTCATCATTTTGATCATCAAAATGTGTTGCCTCAAATATTGTTAAGTAAATTATTTCATTATTTTTATCTATAGGAACAGCAAAATTAATGTGTGGGAAGTTTGTTAAAATGAGTTAAGTTTAGTATAAAATGTAACTGGTTAATTATCGGTTTGAAATTAAATTAGCATGAGTGTTAAATTGCATTTCACTTTAAAGTGACATAAGTATTTTTGTTTGAGTGTTTGTGTAATCTATTGGCCTTAGCGGATGTGGTTCTGTTTTACTTAGTCGTATGCAAAAAAGTTTTCACGAGGCTCCTAAGTACACCCTTACTCTTTCAATATGAATTAAGAAAGTAAGGAGCATCCAAGTGCTACTGATGTATTGCAATTAATAAACTGATCATTAGCAAGTGTGAACACCTTTTAATAAAGCAGATGATTTGGCAGTTCATTTGTCTATTCATCATTGAAGTTGTGAAGTTGTGTTAACACAATACCACAATCTTTTAAGGGATGGAAGATTGTCTGAGAAATTCACTCCAAGTTCAGACTGTGCAATGCACAGAGGAACCACTAAAAGTCCAGAGCTATGTCTCTGACTCCTCTGGCCTCACTTAGGATGTGAAATATTCAGTCTTTTTCTAATTGGACTATCTTGAACTTTAATAAGCATTACTCATTAAGAAGGGTTGACAGAAAAACATGGCAGCACAGCTCAGGTTTGCATCAACAAACCACAATGTGTGGAACAATGTCCTTTGGACAGATGTAATGCACAGTACCATGTTTGGTAAAATCAAGAACAGCATATCAGAAGCACGGTAGTGGAGGGGTGATGATTTGGCCTTGTTTTGCATCCACTGGTTCTGGCCAGCTTGCAGTGAATGACTTGACCGTGAACCCCTCTGTTTACCAAGTATTCTAGAGTTAAATGTGACATGTGTCCCAAAACTAAATGTTGGCCCAAATTGGGTCATGAAAAACAGGACAGTGATCCTGAGTATGCCGGCTAATGAGCTGTGCATAAAAGAAAGCCTGCAGGCCTCAGTTGAGTAAACTGAAGTAATGCTGTGAAGAAGAACGAGCCAATATTCCTTCACAAGAATGTGAGAGACTGATAAAGTCATACAGAAAACAATTACTAAAGTTAAGGGTAATAAAATAAATAAATAAAGTAAAGATTTCTGCGAACCATTGACTCATCGGGTGGACTTTTAGTGGAACTTTTAGTGGGATTACTGAAGGAAATGCTGCCCATCTAAAGCTACACTCATTATGTAGAACAAATAAACTGTATGAAAAGTATTTGAGACAAATATTACAGCAATATATAGATGCATTTGGCATTAGCAAATGTGAAATTAAGACTTTCTCTCTAGTTGCTCAAGGGCTGCCATTTTGTCATCGCCTCAGTTCTGTGACTCAAGGAAACTGGAATTTCCCTCAGGGGATCAGTAGATATCACATTAAATACACAAGACTTGTATAGTATCAATCTTTTTAACCTCTAACTAGCTGGTTGAACTTCTTTTTTCTCTCTCCCTCCAATCAGTGTCGTTTATCCTATCAAAGAACTTTATTGTTAAAACCTGGGAGATTATTAGCCATAAATGATGCAGACTCTGAGCTTGACAGCAGGTCAGCATGTCAGGCTTTCCAATGATGGGAGGATACAAGTTGCTAAGGATTTGTCTGATTAATTATCTTACCAGTAGACTTAATTGGTGAATGTTTGTAATTGGGCTTGGTAACATTCACAGATGTGCAAATTGTTTGGATTGCTATCAGTTACTATCTGAAATGGTTCTGTGTGGATGTGGAATGTTTGGCTCCTTAAAACATGTTGACGCCTGTGATAATATAAGTTGTGATGCACGCGCCGTTTAACATCCCTTAGGCAACACTCACCGAGGGCACACAGCCTCTTGACTCTGCAGGCAGCATGAAGGCAATGATCACAGTTAAATGTCACAGAACTGCTGATATACAACGCCTCAGTGTAGCCTAGTGGGTATCAAATGTTTTCTGACATTCCCCAAATCGAAGATAAAAAATGTAGTAAGTAAAAGGAAGTTCTTGTTTGTGCATTTTCCCTGAAAGTGATATAAAATTAACTTTGCTTCACTCCCCCCCTCCCCCCTCTGGTTGTCCACGTCCCATCAACAGAGCCACTATGCCCCATCTCAGTGATTTTTCCCCCGCAGTTGGTGTAACCCAAATGTTTAAATGCTTCAAGAGCTTTGAATTTTAGTACTTTAATTTGGACCCTAGAAACTGTCTGAAACTTTGGTGCCACCAATGTTTTGTTGTGTTTGCTTTTATTGTGATTGTGGTTTCTTTTAACATTGTTATGGCACTCTGTTTATTTAAGCAAGTGTCTACTGTGGGTCTGCTGTCACTCTACGGCTTATGTACAGACCCATTCTATTACATAAAGCAATGATACAATGGCAATTCTTAGAAACAAAGAAATCTTCACCTGATATTTATCTTTGCTACAAACTTGGATTGTTGAATAACCCTTATTCCATTTCTCCTACAGAAATCCCAAAGCCACAGTGCAGCGCACCAACAAGAAAGTGAACAATGACTCCACACTGCGCATCCAGAACCTTTCTATTCTCATTAGGCAGATTAAATCCTACTATCAGGTAAGATTTTACTACTTTGCTTTATCAGAAGTTAAAAGTAGCCACACTGAAGTGATTGTTAGGAGCTATTTATTGCAGATATGTCATAAAAATGTGTGGATTTAGTGATAAGGGTCAAAATCCCTTAAATTTAGCTCTTCATACATACCCCATGTTCCTTTATGCCTAAAACAGGAGTTGGCTTTCACCACCTTTCACCACCAAAAATGTATCAGTTAACACACTCGTCAAGTTTAGCTCAGCATACACACAAGCTCATGCCACATAAAGAGTTGGCTGTATAAACGGAGATGTATTTGCAGATGTGTATGTGAGTGATGTGGTATCAGCCTCCATCCAGATGTCAAAAGTAGCCCAGTAAATTTAAAGAGATGTCAGGAATGTAAAACAGTGATGTGGTTACTCGTCTATAGTGTCTGCTATATATTTTTAACTTAAATCTGCTTATGTACCATTTCCCTCTTGAACAATTTTCTTAATTTTAGAGAGCTTCATCCGACAGTGAGAAAAATAAGGCAGTTGTCCTGATATTGATTCAATCTGTGTAAATGTCCTAGAAAAATTAGGAAATCTAACTTGCTGCCTAAACGATACTCTTATAAACTTTGGTCAGAGGTTTGAAGTTGATATAAGTAGACCAAGTTACGCATACTGAAGTAGATTACTGCTTAGCATGTTATCAGGTCTATATACGTTTCAGTTTCCGTTCATGGTTAATCATTACTTGTGAATCTACAGTCTTTGCAGTTGATCATATCAGTAAATAAAGGCTCACACTTAGTAAATACTTTATCAAATACTGCAACAGTATAGTATACTGCTGAGTTACTGTCTGCTGCTCGTCAAATACATTTCATTGCAGTGTTGACCCCCTGCTAACTTGCATATGACAAAACTGAAAACACGCGTGGTGAACTGGTCACAAGCAGTAAATCCCACTAATGCTGTGATATATTTGATATATTTGTGCATACTCGCCCTGGATAATCTCTTGACTGCTTGCATATGTGGGACAACACATGGTTGATTTGTGTCGAACAACTTTGGTTTGCAGCCCACTTCCAAGTGCGGATGCCAGATATTTGAATCTGTAATCCTCCCCTATCTCTGTGGTAGAGTGTACATTTTTTCTCTGCTTATCAGTGCTCTGTATCTCACATATAATATAAAGTTTAGTTGGCATAGAATGATATTTTCAGCTGAATTAATGCACGACACAAAATGGTCTGAACACTTTTTGATATTCTTTAACATATGTTGAGACACCCGCTGTTTCCAAGAAATACTGGTGAGCATGACAGTCATGTATTTTTATGTATCATGCAGTTTAAATTTAAGGTGTTAAGATGAGGTAGGGTTACTTGATTTCAGTGGGTTGTTTTTTTTGGTGGTGGTTTTTTTAAAGTGGATGTTCTTTAACTTGAGATAAATTCATGTATCTAAAAGGACAGAACACATTAATCAGCATTTCTGTGAAACTACCAGTGTCACCCAGCGTTCCTGTGGCAAGATGTTTTTAAAGGTGCTTTGTTTTTTTTGTAATCTTTGGAAAACAGTTTTGTAATACAGGTTGATTTATTGCCCAACCTCAAATGCATAAGTTGCCCCATGGTAGGTTGCTGTTACGCTTGTGTAGTTTAGCGTGCTGTCCCACAGCATTCCTCAGTGTCTGCTCCGTATTGTTTATAACGGTTATGCATGTGTGTTGTGAAACCTGCAAGGTTGACAGATTCGCAGAGAATATGATTCACATTGTTGCTGGAACTGTGTTTATGGTAATCAGGAGTTGTGTGTGCAAACATGCTGTTGCAACAGTGCAATGAGTTTAGGAATGCCGATCTAGCCAAGCAGTCAACCTGATAGACACAAATTCCCACACTACAGGTTTAGGATTGACTTGTATCCTCATGGGTTGTGAGTGTGCTGGGCTTGTGTAAGAATTAGTCATTAAAACTGCCATTTCTAATTTCTGTTGCAAAGTCTGTTGTGCAGACTTTGACATTATAAGGCCACAAAAGCTCCAGTGGGCATCTTTAAAAGGACTTGCCAAATTATGTGCCATAGAATCAATGTGTGCCAGTTTCCTCTGAGGTTGATTAATGACTAGCAGAGTAAATGAGTGATGAGATGACAGGAAGTGTTAATGACATTAACTGGAAGTGACCCAATCTATCCTGTTTTTTAACATCCTGGATTTAGGCTTCAATAATGCCCCCATCTTCCGGGAGGTAGATTAAAAATATATGTATTTAGTTGAGTGCATGCACAATATACAGATATCTGATTTACTTTACGTTGCATTTGTAGTAAGGTTTGTCATTTTTCCAAGGTGTTCAGCACAGGATGCAGCATGTGCTTCCTGCTTATTTATATTAATTAAAAAACATCCTTTTCTGAAAAATGTAGCTTTTTGTGATTTAAGATTTTAAGTACTGACCCTGCCTACTTGTGAGGGATAATTTGTTGCACTGATATGAGACAAATTCAGTTCAAGACCTTGCTAATGTAAGTAAATGGGTGTTGTTTTGGGTGTATATAGTACTGTGTAATCTGTGTGGTCGTTAGCTTTACGTGAACGTTGTAAGGCAACAATGCAACTCTTGTATGGCCATGGCGTTTGATTAATCATCCCTGTTTGTATGGGTGTTGTTCTTTTGACCTCCTAGTCACACCATTGTTCAGCCACTTGTGTCTGCAGCCTCAGACTCTCGGAGACCACCTACAGGCTTAAATCCCTCAAAGTTCCCTGCTGTCCTTGTTGTGTGTCTGACTGCCCCTATGATGACCTATTAGGGATTTAACTGACAACGGAAGGGTTATGTGTAGGATGTAATTACCTATTTAAGTGAGCATTTTAATCATTTTGATTTGTGTGATTTTGGACATATGTTATCTTGATTTTTTTTTTTTCTTTTTTAAATGAAGTTCTCCACTTCTTTCTTTATATTTTTAGTTCATTAGCAGCTTAAAAGAAATAAAACTAAAGTGTCTATGAGGCTGTGTGTATTGTATTTAATAAAAAATAGTGAGTCTGAATGAGATTAATTCTATATTTGTTTAGATGAAAATGAAAAGCACTTTTTTTTGGTTTTTTTTTTTGTTTCAATCTCTAATAATAGCGAAACGGGTTGTGTGCATGTGTTTTGTTTTTGTTTTTCTGTGGGGAAGCACGTTGGATGTTAAATTAATCAGTGGGTTAAAGATTAAACAGTCATACCTGTTGAGCATGCTAGGCTTTTCTTCCCCTGCAGCGCTGTTCAGAAATTGAAAAGCAGTTCATACGTATACCATATTTTCTGATTATGCTCCTCAGCAGAGTTTCAGAGCCATCCTGCAAAATATGTATCAATGTATAAATATATATGATCATACTATATTTGCACACATGCAGTTTGCGCACTAGGCCACAGTCTTCTGGAGCAATGAGGAGGAAAATGACTTTGATAAATGGCTTTGCTGTGGTCTCCATTTCCTCTTACTGGTTTCACATTTCCAGTGACACATGGAAGAAGATGGTACCTTTCAGGTCTTAGGCTAATGGTGTTAGCAGCTTTATATTTACTGCAGCACTCAGCACTTTGGACGAGGATGCGGCATTCTTGGCTGCTTCCTACGATTCAATAAATTGATCTTGATCTTTGAGTCTGTGTAGTGGAGCATCGGAGGAACTCTGAGTAATTCAGCAACAAGAACTCAAGGCAGTTCAGAGAAGCTTTTTAAACAGACGTGCCCCGGTGACTGTGCTGTCGTCTTTATAAGCAGCACAGTTCATGTCCCGGAGGAAGGAGGAGGGAAGGACTTTATTTGGTCAGTCAGCAAGGGTTCAAATTTAATAATCTCCTCGTGTCAAGAGAAATGCAGTTATTAACTTTTTTGATAGCAGGCAGTTGTATACCTGGGATTTTCCTTTGTCCCTTTCCTCATCCCTTTGCCTCTAGGAGATGTAATCCTAGGAGCGTGTGTGTAGAAGCGGCGAGAAGTGAGCAGGCAAACAAGAAATTCAGTAATAACGGCTTTCATTTCAAAGTATCCCTGTCTTGGGCTGTGTTTGAGTATGAGGGTTGTCTTTCAATGTCGTGTCATATTTGTGAGTCTTTGTCTCGGTTATTGTTCTGGTAAAGTAGATTCTGTAGGAGGAGGTTGATGTCTAGACGGGCTTCAGGCTTTGATTTTTAGAATCTGGTGAACATATCAAGGTTGTGCGCGTGTGTGTGTGTGTGTGCCTTTTCATGTGAATTTAATGTTGTGAAGAAGCAGACGTGGTGATTGCAGCAGCACATTTTTTTCAAAGTAAGCAAGCGGTGGAAATTTTCATTCTGGTAATTATTACATTGCTTTTGAGTAGAATATCAAGTTTCCTGGTACAGAGTCCACTGACTTTTCCATTGCACTGATGGTCAGTCCAAATATAGGCCAGGCCTCTTTTTAATTTAGTGGCCTTGGTTTGGCATTCTTAAGTAGGATGTAAGATGGAGCCTTCAGCTGAACTGAAGTCTTTGTGCCTGTACTTTTCTCAAAGCTAAGTGAATCCCTTTGTCCTGGTTCATGAAACTCTGGCTCAGACACCATGTGGTGTCATTCATAGTCGAACGTAATCATTCAAACTGATGGAAGGGATTATAATTTTTTTTCCCTCAAGTTAGGAAAGTGTATATACTTTTGTAGTTTTTCATTAAAATGTATAAATGGCACACAAATTATTGCAACTTGCATTGATTTACTTTATTTAGTGCACAGCAACATTTTGCTTCTATCCTTTGAGTTTTAGACGTTACATTTGAAAATAAGAGTGTTTTTGTCCCCTGTTTGCCTCTGCTTTGGTTTGGGGTGTGGTTTAAAGGCTGGGAGCTCTGTTTTGACTCTTTAAAGAGTAACAGAGGACACCATTGATGCAGAGTGTGCCTGGCCCCAAAGCTCTGCAAGTTTTTGTTTTTTTGTTTTTTTGCAGACTAATTCACGATAATGTTGCATGTTTAACGGTGATCTGTAAGCACTTTAGC